CAGAGATGGAAGAGGTGAACAAGGTGGGGAAAATTTTATTTCACTCTCTCTGAAGCTCCTACCACCAGGTTGCATTCTTCAGGCATGGAGTAGTTTCAAATGTCATTGAAGTTCTCTAAATGAGGCAATATATTCCTTGGTGAGATGTCAAGGTGTCTATGAGAAATAAACCCTTAAATATTTAAGTAAACAGTTTATTAATCCTGTGCAAATGTAGGTAGATCTGAGCCATGGGAGAACAGAAATCATTTTGCTAGCAAAATATCCATCCAATCTTTCCTTGAGTAATTTAGTATCTACATTTAGATTCTAAAACTAAAAATTGTAGTGTGTGAATAATTAGAAGAGGGGATAATATGGAAGTAAGATGGAGCTGAATATGTTCAATGAATGTTTTTACAAACTTCGAAATTGAGTAAACCTCCGTGTTGAATTGCAGATCGTTAAGCCCTTCTCCCTTTGCCTCCTTCCATAAAATAGATTCATTTTCTGAATCTTCTTCCTCTCTGTCCTCAGCCTCTGCCTCCTTCCAGGTGTGTGGAACGCTGTTGTCCCGGATTCAGGAAGGTGGCTCAGGAAGGGAAGCCCATCTGCTGCTACGACTGTCTTCCTTGTGCTGAAGGAATGATCTCCACCATGGAAGGTGGGTGACACTGAAGGAAAGGGACAGTTCAGGAAAGTGTTTGATCTTACCTACACAAGGGCTTTTCAAAGGAATTTCTTGCCTTGACACCTGTCGTGTTCATTTCTCTCTGTATTTCTAACCTGGGGTAGCAGATGAAAAGATACTGGACCAACTGGGGCTTAGTATTACCATGAAGATGGGATTTCCTGGGCTTCATCTTGTCCACACACCTTTCATGTTTCAGTTTGCTAGTCATCCCATTTCTCTGAATAGTGAGAATAATTCCAGGGCATGATGACACTGGTTGAGTCTTTGGGAGAGGATTGTTCAGGTCTTCTCACACTTGTGCCTGTCTGGATGGAACCATTTCTAGTTTACAGCTTCAGATTTCCTGAGAATCCAAAATAAATGTTGCGGAATTTTTGCAAAAGACAGGAGCACAACATAGAGGAGAACAACCATGTTTATTGCAGTGATCACTGGGTGCCTGCTTTCAAGAAAGAGGGACCCTGATCAATAGAAAACCATAGAATTTATACACTTTTGAGGTTGAGAGGTGGGAAATCTGAGGGATCTGATTGGAGGATGGATTTGGATAGGTGTGAAATAGGGGAGAAATGGTTTTTCTATTGTGAGATAAGAACCACGGCAAACCCTAAAGGAAACAGGTGATGGCCCTCCCATTGTTTCTGTAGGATAGTGTCAAGAGGGCTATTTTTGGTAGTGGAACATGGTCACTCTTGGGTCCTGCAATGGCTTGGAGCTGATCCTGTTTGGCATGAGCAAAATGGAGAAAAGAGATTGTGGAGGGGGGCAGAAAGAGAGGCGGGGGAGGGGGTAGCAAAGAGTTTGCTGCAAGGGAGGGAGGGGAGCGAGCCGAGTTTCCAGCTTTATTTTATTATTTTTCCATCACATAAAGGCAACTGAATAGGATTCCAGAGCCCAATGACTTCTCTTTGTGCCTCTTCCACTTTCCTTATGTTCACAAAATCTAGAACACAACTTTTCCAAAGATAGGTCTTGTATTGAGCAGGGATGGTAGACGTGGTGGCCTCAGTGGCTCTTCCAGCTCCTGGATGGTGTCTACGTGGGGTGGAAAGAAAGAAGGCAGGAGTTGGGGCTGGGTCAGACTTCCTTCTTGCTCTGGCAGGAAGGTGGTCACTAACTCTTTAGAGAAGGAATGCATGAGGATGCCCCAACTCGCCCTGAAACCACCCTTAAGGTCACCTCCACCTAACCTTTCTTGCTCTATCACAAGTGTTTTCTGACTTCAGCCAACATAATCTGTGCTATGTGGTCCTTCTCATGAAGTTCTTTCCATTGTGGGAAGTGGTTGGGTGTTTTTTGTTTTTGTTTTTTTGGTCCCTTGATGCACTGATGAAAGCCTGGATTTTTTTTAACAAGTTCAGTGCTGGAATGGTAAAATGGCCCTTCCTTCCTTCCTTCCTTCCTTCCTTCCTTCCTTCCTTCCTTCCTTCCTCCCTCATGATAAAACTGTGACATTAAAAACTACGTAGTCAAATGAAGAACAGTCCAGACCATTTCTCCTTCTAGCTAGCATGAAAGGAAGAAGGATAACACTCTGGGGGTTGTTCTCATCAGTCCTCAAAGGATGTGCCCAGTGAAAGAGGTGTGATTGGTCCTTGCTGTTCATGCATGGGAATGAGGGGGAAAAAAGGAAGGGAATTTACCATTCAATGTATATAGATGTATAGAAAACCTTTACTTCTCCAC